TAGTGGGTGAAAACCTCTGCAGGGCGAATCAAAACTCAACTCGTAGCAGGCGGTTGTAGCAGGGGGAGAACCACTCCACGGACTCCTCCCAATGATGGGTGTAGGAAGAGGGGGGGGGGGGGGGGTTGACTGGGGAACCATGGGCCCCATCTTTTCAAGGTGGGATGGCAGCGATATCAAATGCCTCCCCCTCCACGTTTTCAGATTCAAGTTACGTGTGGCTTACCTTTCTACTACATGCAACACGCAGGCTATCGCTTAGTGTCACAGACGCGAGACCGACACTGCGCGGCCTATACAGACTGCAAGCCTGGGCGTTGAAGCTGTTGTTGCCAAGATTTGCGAGCGCGCATATTCAAAACCGTGTTATCTGATTTTCTTCAGTTATCAATTCTTACTAATGGTTAAAACCGAACATGGGTTGGCCGTCTCAATACAGCCTTGCGAGCCCATTCCGATGTATAATCTGTGCTCAGGCGTCTTCAATATCTCCCGAGAACACATAACAAAGTCTGGAACTGGTGTCTTTGTGATAGTTATTGGACCACCTGCGGCGATAAGGGATGTTGTTGCGTCAGTGGGGGTTCCCATGTTGATCCGGGGCCAGCTGCGCGGGTCAGAAGGCCTTCCGCGTCAGGGAGGAACAATGTGATGTGATGTATCCTCCTAAGGGCCTCCGTCCCGACCTGGGAATCCTGCCCCAGTCGCCAGAATGACAGCCGAAAGACACCACGCGATGGGACGAAATGACCCTTCAGCCCTAGACCGAGAACAGCAACGTGTTCCTATTGTTCTGCTCAAGGGGCCCCCTGTCCGAATGGAAACGAGGAGTCTCATAATTGTTGAATAGAGTGGGTCGAAATGAGTTCAAGGACGAACAAAGCCATGCCATATTTGCCTGATAACGTGTGTGTGACACTAGTGAAACAAATTTCATCAAACTGTTGGGACACACGCGCCCGCAATCTCGAGAGCAAGGACAACGATGGTCTGGGTAGCAGCTTCCGTAAAACCGAACGGCGTTGGCCACTGCAAGTGACACTAGGCGGCGGACGCCCTATTAAGCTGTCCTCTGGACAGATAAACAGAGACAGCAGCTCGAAAAACAGAGGTTCCACATTTACTCTTCCAGTTCCACCACCAGATTCCAGCACTACTTCGGGATGCTGTAAGGGCCAATCCGTTTCTAGCATCTATCTAAAATCGCACAAGTGAAGTATACTCCCCGACGCGTTCTAAATTTAAGATTTGATGTTCTAAAACGTTTAAAGATGCTTTTTTCGAGAGCGTCATTATTTTCGTCCACCCCTTGGTCACGGCTCAGTGTTAGCCACTGGTCTGATGCTGTGCGGGCTATGGAGACTGCAATGTCTGGCATTGAGGCTTTGTTGCTAAGATTTGCGAGCGCGCATGTGCAAAACTACCTCATATAATTTCCATCACTAATCAACTCCAACCGAACGTTGAACATTTGTGGACAAACATGGCTTGGCTATGCTATCACACATTGTTGACCTATTTCGATTTATAATCTACCTTCGCGAGGTCATTAATGTGTCGGTAAAACCCAGATAACGAGTTCTGATAAAGCTTCTGAATTTTATCGGTGTAGAAAGCGTCCACCGAACAATCGTAATTAATGCGCGCTCGAGTAGGGGTCAAATTGACCCCCCAATGGTTTTTCCAGAATGGTTTCCGAACGGCGCGGCGCAGCCGCGCCAAATTTTGTAGAGCTGTAGATAATTGAGTGGCAGATCGGCTGGTGAAAATTTGTCAGACGTACCTTGTAAGGTCGCGGACCAATGGTAGGTCAAAGTCAGGCCATGGTTTCAGCGAAGCCAATTTCTAGGGAATCGTTGAATCTGATGCAACAAAGGAGTGTTAGACAACGCCATAAATCTCTGAAATGCTTCCTTAGACAATAAAACAACTGCATGAGCAAATTGCATTGATGTAAGGCCAGGTATGAAGGTCGGACCAAGGTCAAAACCAACCTGTTTTATTGCTCTAGGGCTTGCTGTATGGGCTAGTTTCTGGTGCTCATTGCGAATTTATTGATGGCAGGAACCGCATTCTACATCTTCCATGTACTTCTTAGAGGTCAGAATAAGTCATTGACCTAAAATGACCGAGGTCAACATTTGGTTGTTAGGAGCACACTGCCTAGCGTAATCTTTATCGCTTATTCAAATACAAAACTCAGAGCAGTATTGTATGATTTTGGCCACAATGACCTTCAAAAGGTCAAACAAGGTCACTTATCTTACATGAGCACGCGATCTTTTGCTTAGATACAGTTATCTATGTTTTGGGGCACTTTGGAGACCAACCAGGAATTTGACTTGTTTGACCTTATTTGACCGGAAGGCCATGACCTAGTAACTTGAAACTTTGACCTAAGTGAGTTTACGTACAGGTAAACATATCCTATGAATTTGGTGTCTCTAGCTCTCATAGTTCTTGAGATCTTGCGGGGTCAAATTGACCCTCCTCCGCCCGGGGCGAAGGGTATCCAACCGGCCACCCGGGCGCGTGTTAAGAACGCCAGCAATTTTTTCCATGCAGTCGTTCAACGGTTGATTTCTGCAGTTCATCGGCTTTAAAATACAAACAAACTTGCATTCGCGGTAGCTCTTGGTTTCTGTTTCCGTTCTGGTTACAAGGTGAAAATAGCAATTAAACGAAGAAAGCCGCGTTCCTTGTTAACAAGTAAGCCATATCCCCCGACTTTTTAGGCCACCATCAGGAGGGGGGGGGGGGGGGGGCTCTTATAAACCCTGTGTCTAGCGCTTGGAAAGGCTCTGGCAACACCCCTGCCTATGCACAAAAGCTGATCAAGTCGGCTACGTTGAACGAGGGACGATTAAATGTTCGTTGAACCGATTCATGTCTAAGGCAGGCAGCCTCCCCAAAAGCTTTTACTGCGGTGGTGTGGTGTAAGGGAAGATATGTCAGAAAAAGACGCTGCTGCAGGTGTCCAATATATATCTTTAACACCAACAAGTAGTAATGCTGATCTATATATATATATATATATATATATATATATATATATATATATATATATATATATATATATATATGTGTGTGTGTGTGTGTGTGTGTGTGTGTGCGTGTGTGTGTGTGTGTGTGTGTGTGTGTGTGTGTGTGTGTGTGTGTGTGTGTGTGTGTGTGTGTGTGTGTGTGTGTGTGTGTGTGTATACATATGTAGCAAAGTAGCCGTGCTATCAGTTCGCAGCCAGTCATGCGAGGGACAGTCGGGCTGGCGCAGTGGCCGCCGGCGGCGGACGGGGGCAGGGCTCAGATAAGGAAAATATGACAGAAGCATCACGTTGTTTTAGAAAGGTCACAGTTGGAGATTCCTAATTTGTTTCCACCTACAATGCGACAAGTATGATTTCTTGAAAAGCAGCCGGCGAAATCTAGGCGCATGAAAACTGGCGCAGTATGGGCCAGCGATTCGCATGCAAAATTTTGACCAGTCTACATTCCTAGTCGTAATTTGGCATTTACCCTGTGAAGGCAGGTGTCCTCTCAATGACACAAAATGCCTGCCCGCTAGTGGAATTTCGCCTTCCCAGGAAAAGCAATCTTGAAATGGACGAACAATCTTGGGAAGCTGGATAGCCTTATTTGCCGAATGACATAGATGGGTGGAATAGGCAAAATTGTGCACCAGCGAGAAGCTGGTGCACAATCTTGTAGATGTATATCTAGAATGGCAACCTATGACATTTAATTACTTGCAAAATCTATGATGTTAGCTAAAACCAAAAAAAGCGGATCATAACCTCCATCTCTTCCCCCTCCCTCCCCCTCCCCCGGTCATCAGGGCTTGCTTTCCAGAAACGTCCCTGAAGACGTTGAGCCTGCTCCCCCCCCCCCACCCTTTTTAAAGCGTTCCGACGTCTGTCCTCCCGACATCATTATGTTCCTGATTTCAACCTCAGCCTCCGTCCTGAGCAATGAAATACCTATGCGTCTCACAAGAAAGTGGTCAGTCTCACAGTTGAATATAGCTCTGAAAGGATCACGGGTTACAGCACATCACTGAGTAAAATATTATTTGCAAGACGTTCAGCTTGCACGTACACATGGGGTAATGTTCAAAGGGACGAAAAGGGATGAAAAAAGAAAGGAGAGATTGTATAAGCTCCATAAACTGATTTCTCAAATTGTTGTAAAACGCTGCAGAACATTGCACTTGCTAACAAGTGCGAGATGCGCGCCAAAGGGACTCTGTGATTAGTACCAACTGCTTCAGGAAGATGAATGCAGTTTAATGCACAACTTGTGTGATATTTGAAAAATTGCAGAATGCTGCAACACCGTTTTGAAAGCTAATGTAGGAACGTAGAGCCCTGGAACTGTCTTCATTGTTCTTGCAAGGCGCAAGAGCCTCTAAAAAAAAGTTTTTTGGAAAATTTTCAAAAGGTTGCAGAACGCTGCTAAAGTGGAGCAAAGTAGCACTCTGGAATCATCGTCATTGTTTTCACATGGTGCAAGGTCCCCTTATGCGAATTTCTGAAAGAAACTGTATGGTTGCAAAGTGGGGCTCATCACAAGCAGCCCACTCCGTTGCAACGCTACCTTCCCCACAGCGGGTGCCGTCTGTCTGGTCTGCCGTGTCACTATCGGAGCTCCTATAGCGGGTGCCGTCTGTCTGGTCTGCCGTGTCACTATCGGGGCTCACACAGCGGGTGCCGTCTGTCTGGTTTGTCGTGTAACCATCAGAGCTCCTATAGCGGGTACCGTCTGTCTGGTTTGCCGTGTCACCACCAGAGCTCCCACAGCGGGTCCCGGCTGCCCGGAACGTCGCATCCCCTTCAGAGAGGCGCAGCGGGATCCGGCCGTCGGACCCGTCGCGCGGCCCGGCTATTTCCTGCGCTGGCGCCGTGCCGGGTGGCGCCGCTCGCTCGCGGCCGACACGCGCGCCGCCGGCACCGACGCGACGCTCCGTCGGCTTCGACGCGACGCCCCGTCGGCCGGCAGTCGCTGCCATGGAGCCGGCGGGCAAGGCACGCCGTTTTCCGCACCTGCCACTGCTGTACGCGCTGGTGGCCGCGCTGGCCGCCGCGCAGCTGGCCGGCTTCCTGCTGGTGCGCCACCAGCTGGCCGCCGCCGACCGTGTGTGTGCTGAGCGCGCGCTCCGTGCCGAGCGCCAGGCCGTTGTGCACGTGACCGACTTCCTGGTGAAGGCTACGCGCGGGCCACACGCTGAGTTCCGCCACGATGAGGTGCTGACGCCGCCGCCGAGCGTGCGCCACCGGCGGCAGGCGACCGACCAGGCCGCTGCGAACGGCGCCTTCCTGGACCGTGGCCCCGAATACACGGGCGCCAACGTTGAGTTCGTGCACCGCACCAAGACGGAGCGGCGCGAGGGCACCGAGGAGGGCAGCGGCGCTGCCGAGGAGGTCGACCCTGACAACCCGTGGGTGTGGCTCACCTCGTACTCCCGGATACCGGTGCGTAGTGTTTCGGCCGGGTGCGACGGGCACTGCGTAGCTGCACAGCTGTGTGGCGCGTCACTAGGGCGAAGCAAACCGTGCAGTTTAGGCAAGTTTAGTTACTCTAAGGATGTCGTTTGGGTGTAACGAACCAGCCATGGGCGGGCATGCAATGTTCTTGTTCGGTCGCTTTAGCGTAACACAATGGAGCCAAGGAACGTTTTCAACCATTTTGGTTAACGTGCGCACAGAAAGGTAGTTTCCCATTCAGTTGAGGGGACTTCGGTCCCCCAACGTCGTCTCCAGCCCCCTTCCCAGCTTTGAGACGAACGTGGGCCAAATAGGTGGAGAAGCCCGTTTCTGGCGTATTTTTTGGGGGGTTGTCATTGTTTTTGCTAGTCATCACCGCTGCCCATAATCATTTTGCGAAACCACGTCACTGTGTGCATGATATTATGCGCTCCCATCCTATTCCCAGTGTTTCTGAGCCGCACGCAGGCAGCACCGGCGGTGTCAAAGCTCCTATGAGTATTTAGAACAAAATTCTGTATATTCTGCACAGTTCTGCTTACGTCAGTCGTCTCGTTTTGGCTTAAGCGATTATCCATATCGCGCTCAGGCTAAGAGATTCGAACTTGAGCTTAGAAAGAGAGGGGCGAAAGGCGCTTTAGTCTGGCGTGTAAAGAGAATGTCAGAAGTGTACGCCATCTTGCGGTCCCGTTTAGGGATTACGGTGGCAATGATCCAGGTTAAAGCGTTCCAGCGAGCTTATATCAAGTCAGTTTGATAAGCCTTGAAATGAGCTTCATAACTCTGGCCGATCAGACCGCTCCATGGAAACAAGTTTGGTCGTCCTTGTGACCAAGAGGATGAGATGGCGGACTGGCAATCCCTTGGTCTCGCAGGCATACCAGTCGGCTCGCAACTCAACGGAGAACAAACCTTGCACAGGCAGGCCGCGGCATGGCACGGTGCGAGCAACAGCCATGCACCATTCCGTATGCCCAAAAATACCAACAAACAAATAATCCGTAAAACTGGAATAGCAATAAGTTGGCGGTGGGCTCACGCAGGCTACCATCAACAGCCACTGTTTATGACAAATCGGCTGAGCTCAGGGCCACCCGTCCAGAGTATCGGATGTGATTCTGAATCCAGCACCTGCAGCAAAATTCCAAGAAGTTTGGTGTGATTAATGGGTTTGGTTTCAAGTGAGGTGGTCTTGCGTGCTGGAAAGAAAGTGTGCCTGAAGCGTGAAAAGTCGCACGCAAGTGACCCGTTCACATAGAGCAAAGATGAAAACGCCTTCACGATAAATGCAGCTAAGTCCAAATGCAACTGTTCGATCCTGGAGCCATATTCGTACACGTTTGCTGCACATAAACCTTAAAGGGAGGATATTACCCTTTTAGTACTCCTTACTCATTGTTAGATCAGACGCGTTCGACTTGATCGGTAACACCAGTTTTCTCAAAATCAGTCTGAAGAGCTCAAAGTTTTGATTTGAAGTAGCCGCTCGTGTGGGAAAAATATCATTGCTCTCACTGATCATCACTATTAGAGTGATTTTCATTTGTCCTACTTTTTCAACGTATGTGTTCTGAATTGTTTGCCGCACACTTTTCTGTCAAAACTGTTAGGTAAGAAGTGCTACGGAAGCTCGAAACACTTCAGAAAAAAACAAATTGTAAACATGAGGCTATCGTCATGCCAATTCAACGATGCGATATAATTTGACTTTAATTCCTTCTCTATGACGCTTACCACAGTGGCTCTTTTAGAAGAGCACTTTGGCTTGGGAAACGGAGAACAACATGGAACCATACCACGTTTATATAGTGACTCATTGGTTCAAACTTGAACCAACGCGCTTCTCGGTAACTGGTCCTTGCCGTCTGCTCTGCCAATAACAAAGGTTCGTCTGTGCTGACGTTATTTATACTAGTCGAGGTGCCACATTTAAGCCTGTAGGCCCGCAATGTGCTTGTAGAAACAGCTCAAGAGTGGTAGTTGTCATCGTCATGACGACGGCGATCGTGACAGCTGAAGGTGTCGCAGACTCGGGATACACTCTGGGCTACCAAGAAAGGAGGAAGTGTAGTGCTATTACACAGTATTGATGGCGTAGTTAAGACTCGACAATAATTACATTTTATGTCCACATTTTATTCCGATCGCACTGCAGTGGCTCTACACAGCGCTATTATGAAACACAAATGATCGTGAGGATTCACGCAGTATCTTTTAAAAACTATTCCCCAAAGTTGGGACACCCCTTTCCACCTTTCAGCGGGATGGGAATCATGTGTGATTTACAGTCCTCAGTGCGGCCGCCTCACAACGTGCTGTGTGGCTGATCAGTCGGGTCTAGATAAACGAGTTGAATTCGTTCTTTCTGGCGCAACGCGGCTTCGTGCATGCCCACAGAGTCATGCTGGTGTAAATAAAAGATACCAACTACTTATGTACACGGGGTCATGTTAGGCCGTCTGAGATCGTTCCATGACCTTCCATGACCCTGATCTTTGACCACCTTGCACTTACAACCTTCATGTGAGACAATTGAATTGGTTCAACATAAAAGGCCTATCAACATTGCTTTGGCTGGTTTTGGCCTGACGTGACCTTGAAAATAAATCACCCTTACTGCTTTCCTGACGAGCAAACTGTTTGGCTTATAAAATAAGCGCTTTGTGGGCAAATTCCGCAATGTATTCAGATTTGTCTCATCTCCATGACCTTGCGCACTTCGTGAGCAAATTCCACAACATATTGCAGGTTTTTCTTCATGACTTTACGAGAGTTCAGTAGCACTGACCACACTCATGGCATAACCAATCTACACCTTACGACTCGCTTGGCAATAATATGTGATGCGCGCAGGGCTAAGGATGCGTCTCGTAGCAGCGATGTTTTCTCACGATTTCGCTATACAGCGCTTCGAGAATGAGGTCATACGCTATTAGCTTGAGATCGTAGAACCTTGAAACATATAGGTCACATGTAAAAAGTTGTAAACTCCTTCAGTCAAAATTCATTACAACACCGTGAGCGGTTCAACATGCTTTGAAAACACCTAGGATGTGAGCGTTCACACCTTCTTCCCTCCCGGCAAGGGCTAAGTTAGTACAGATGCGAAGGACGCCTATCAAAGTAAATAGGTGCATTACTTTTATTCAAAATTATGGACACGACTGTGAGTAACCCAGAAGAAGGCAGCGTCCGCCGTCAGCTTTCCTGTCTGTGCCACGCATGGATTTCCCGCGCTGGTAGTTCACTGACAGACGCATCTCTTCGCGGCGTGCAGCTTGTAAGGCGGAGTCAGCCGGGCTGCGGGACTGCAGAGTCAGCCGGGCTGCTGGACTGTAAGGCCGAGTCAGCCGGGCCGCTGGACTGTAAGGCCGAGTCAGCGGGACTGCGGGACTGTAAGGCCGAGTCAGTAGGGATGCGGGACTGTAAGGCCGAGTCAGCCGGGCTGCTGGACTGTAAGGCCGAGTCAGCCGGGCTGCTGGACTGCAGCGGCCATCCAGCCGGACAACCAGCGGCGTGGCGTATAACCCGAGGCAGCCATTAACTGGGACCTCACATCGATGCTTCTGAACTCATTTGCTTAACTTGAGTAGCTGCTAAAGGACGACTTATACGGGATTATTGGGCTACATTGAAGAGAACGAATTCACTGTTTCAGTGCAGGGAAACATTTCATTTTAGGCAGAGTTACGGCGACCATGGATTTGCATGACACTGAAGTTGACCGAGGGAGGCAGTGAGATAAAGAAAAATGCGGGACTCAGCTTGATGTGCACCTGCATGAGCGTTGAATGCTAATGGTTTATATTGCAATTGCAATTGAGCTATATATATATATATATATATATATATATATATATATATATATATATCAATTCATATATATAGACATATATACATATATGTATCTATATACATACATACAGACATAAGTATATGTAACATACATATCACATATCGTATATGTGCATACATAAATCCGTGTGTGTGTGTGTGGTTTGGGTCAGTTATTTGCAAAATACGTTTGTCCTTTGCACATTTCCCACAAAAGCTCTGGTGTTATGATGCCTGCTCTCCATTGCATACTTGGTGATGGAGTCATTCAATAAGAACGCTGCTGTAAGCCGATAACCCTGCGAGAACTCGACTTAACAGAACGCGCCGAACGATTTTCCTTAGCAAGAAGCACGAACATCTGCATGGGTGAGAAAGTGCCTTTTCTGCCACCAACGAAATTTGGAGCAGTCTGAATTGCCACCTGGAGCCAGATCTATCTGATATCTCTGCAATACAGGTCTAAATGCAATAAACCACACAAAACAAAGATAACTGAAATGTAATGCGTCATAAACATTAACATTTCGTTTCGGAGTTATGTTTGCACTAAAGAATTATTTGCTGGTCATGCCAAAATTACCGGTGGTAAGGACACTACTATTATTTTCTCATTGTATGCTTTTTTGATGTTACAAACTTCGTCATCGTAATCTAAGAACTGCTGTGATCCAGGGGTGTCAAGTTTTGTAAATTATTGGAGAGTCGAACCGAAGGCCCGACAGCCTCTCCCCCCTAACATTTTATCACCGGATTTAGCCCACTTTATTTTGATTAAACACTATATATGCTTTTAACACTTATATCATTTCTAAAAGCCTTTAATTTAAGCAGTATAGAAGTCATGCAGGGTTAGATCCAGAGAGCAGGCACTGGACGCACGCTTCTCTTTTGATTGGCTCGTGAAAGCGCCCCCTCAGAGACCACCTTATGGCGCCGAGGCGCTCTTCTATGACGGTCATGGGAGGCGACACGTATTTTGGCTGTGGGGGACGGGTATGGGGTTAGCCATGAAGGACTTAGGTCATCCCCATATTCTGTTTGCCTCTGTCACACGCTGAAACTGCATTCAGCTGTGCCTAAGTTGGCGGGCAGGGTCGTGACAAGGCAATCGAGTTTGACGACTTCAGGGATGGGTTCACGTACATTGTGCC